ACTTTGGGACTGCAGGCCCCCTGGAGGAACCACGCTGGAGAGGCCCACTGGTGTCCTGTGGGAGTCTCTAGTCCAGGAGTGGCTTTTTTAGGTGCCAAAGGGCTGAGGACTCCCTCTGCATTTTGAGAAAGCCTCTGGCAGATGGGGGTGCCCGGCGGAGGGGTTGGGACCCCCTAACATTGCACCTACCTCCCTGGCTGTGGACCCCACCGACTCCAGCCCGTCTCCCGGTGTCTGAGAGAAACCGAGAAGGGGCTCCCTCGACCTCTGGCAGAGAAAACTGGGTTCCACCGCCCCCCGCAGTGGCGGGAAACACGCGATGAATGCGCCCCGCATCCGGCAAAACCGCAGCTCCGGGTGAGGAGTGTTCAGGAACCGCCGCGGCGCGCCCGGGGTCCCCAACGTGAGCATCGATCGCAGGGCGGCAAGGACACAGCATAAAGCGAGCGGGGTGGCTGGACGGGCCCGCGCAGCGCGGATTCAGCACCTCCGGCCGGACAGCGCCTCGGCCGCAACGCGCCGCCGGAGCCCGCATCAGGCAAAAGCCGCCCCAGCCCACCCCGCGCCGCGCCCGCGACCCCGGCCTTACGCTGCATGGCGACTCCGGCCCCGGAGGGGTCTCCTGCTCTCGGGGATGGCGGGGCCGGCGGAGCCTGGACGCCAGCCCGCCAGCTCCGGCCAGCTCTCCCGAGCTCCGGGCGCGCAGCCCTCCTCCCTCCCTCCCTCTCTCCGCCTCCCAGCCCCCGCGGCCAACCCCTCCCAGGAACCGTCGAAAAATAAATAAATAAATAAATAAATAAATAAGTAGCGAACAGCGAGCCCCCACAGCCTGGATGAAACCCCCTTCCCGCCAGCCCGTCCCTCCCACTCCCCACCGGTCCCGGGCCTCCTTCCCCATCCTGCAGCTCCAGCTGGCCCGGGAGTCCCGGAGAACTGCCAGGTTCTCTAAGAACCTAAGTGCTGGGAGCGAGAGTGGTGCCTCCAGGAAATTGGGGGCCCCGGAGAAGCGAGGTTTTTTCCTATCGACGGGCCCTGGACGGGGATAAACCGAGCAGGTGTCTGAGCGCAGACGCTGAAACCTGACTTAAGGGAGACCGACGGTCGAGGTTCAGCTCGACCTTGGCCCTTGCATCTGACTCTGTTCCCCTGGAACGTGGAAGGAGTCCGGGTGGGGCGCCCCTCTTGGGGACCCTCACTGCCCCGCCATTGCTCCCTGCGCCTCCTCCAGCTCGGGGGCCGGCTCAGGGCTTCAGAGGGTCTCCTAAGCCCGCCCTGAACCCCTGAGAGCTTCCTGGCCTGAGCAGCGCGGCGCCACAGCCTCACTCCCTGACAACCCAGCGACAGGGGCCCCGAAACAAACTCAGGCGGAGGCGCCCAGGCGGGGACCCACTTCAGCCCGGGTCTTCTAGCTCCTGCCAGTCTCCGCGATCAGGCCGGGGAAGGCCCGAGGTTCTCCGGGTCTCCCCAGTGCAGCCGCTCGGCCCGGGCACCCACCTCGGCGCAGGTCCGCCCTTCGCGCCAGCAGCGCTAGCAGCAGGTCGCCGCCCGCCGACTCCCGGGCCGGGCCCAGCTCCCCGCGCGCCTCCATGGGTCCCGCCGCCCTGCGTCGCCACTCTTCCGGTCCCGAACTTTCCCGGGCCCGGCGACACCACGCCGCAGTGGCTCCGAACCAGGGTCTGACCGACTCCCGGTGCTGCTGGGCGCTGCGCCCGCGGGCTGCCCGGGGGCCCGGAGCCTCTGGCCGAGCTGAGGGCGGAGCGGCCGGGGGGCGGGGCCGCGGCGCGGGGCGGGGCCGGGGGTAGCGAAGACTAGCCCGGGGCTACCGCGGACTCGCGCGCCTTTGCGCCGGGACCTGCGGTGCCCACAGGCCACCCCGCGTGCTCAGCCTGAGGGTGGGCACCGGTAGGGGAGGTCTCAGGTCAGAGCTGCCCGCCTGCGTTCTTCCCCGCCTCGCAGCTTCCTGCGCCGGAGGGGGCCGCGGGCAGAGGCCTGGGCTGGAGCACACGCCAGGAGGGCTAAGGTTCCCGGGAGAGGGCCGAGAAGGCAGCCAGGTCCTCCCGCCGCTGAGGTTTGGCCTCGGGAGCCGGAGTTGGTCAGCAGGAGCTCAATCCGAAACGCGGAAGGGGTGAGTGTGGCGCCGAAGGCTGCGTACCGGAACCGCAAGGACCCGATCCCAGATGCCAACCGGCTTCTGGGCTCCACCCCTGAACTGCGGCCCCGGAGTGGGCTCAGGGGAGAATAGCAAGCCTTGAGAGAGAACAGGCTCTGTGTCCCGGACACCCAGCTAAGACCTCGCGTCGTGGACTTCAGCACTGGGAAGTCCAGGGCACCCCTGCATTTCCAGCCCCCAGTACTCTGGCTCCATCAGAACACGGTTTCTTTACCTGATATTCTAGCCTTTTGACCCAGTCCACACAGGTGAGCTCTCTAGAACCCACGCTATCCTTGCAGGCAGAAGGGTGCAACCACCCCTGCCCAGAGGGCCCCGGGCCAGCGCCAGCCCTGGGCAGCCACCCGGGGAAGAACACAGCAGTGGGCGGCCCTCACAGCACAGGACGTGGCGAGGACAGGAGGGCCCTGGCAGTGCAGAAACACCCAGGAAGGGTTGGGGAACCAGGGACCAATGCCATCTCCAGGTCCCTCGCCCTGTGGGTCTGACAGTAATACTCTGTCCACTCTGCCTATGCATTCTGGACTGTGAGCTTTCAGGGGCCAGGCCCAAAAGGATGGGTGCAAGAAAACCACAATCCCCCTACCAGCTCCCAGCAGATCCGATGTGCCCGTCTTGAGCAGCAGCCCATGCAGCCAGCTCTCTGTCCCTTCACTTTGCACAGCACTTATTACCCAAGAAGGGCCAGGGCAAAGACCTGAGGGCACAAAGCCGAGTGTGCTCTGGCTGTGCCGGGTGCAGGCAGCGGGTGTCAGCTGCTGATGAAGCAGGCAGGGGCCGTGTGTGGCTGGACGGGGGCAGGGGCGGCAGCAGGTCAAGGAGGCGGCCCACGCTGCTGGCATCTGGCCGGCCCTCCAACAATGCCTCCATTATTTCCCAGCGTCCGTGGTGATGGAATGGCCCTTGGGGAGAGTGGTTCAGGCGGGAGACCCAGCCTTGGGTTCCCTGCTGTGGGGTCCAGAGGCCTGGGTGGGGCTGTGTGCAAGAGCTGAGGGGCACTAGTCTCAGGGGAACTTGGCACCCCTCGCTCGGCCCCATTGCCCCCCAGCTGTGCCTGCGACGCACCCTTTTCTCTGGGGGCCTCTACTCCACCGCTGTCCCGCACTCTTGCAGGCCAGCGCCAGGCCCTCCCGGCCACCCTGGGATCTGGAAACTCTCCCTGCACTGTGTTCTCATCTGTGTGGCGCCTGCAGAGCGGTGGAACTTTCTTGGCCTGGCCGCTAGCCCTGCGCAGCCCCTTCCTCGCATCTCTGCCGCCCTTGCCATTTCTGTCCTCAGTGTCCTGCCCGGGCTGGAGGCCGCAGGCACCCCGGGGCTCTTACCCCGAGTCCCGCCCAAGGTGCAGACGGTGGCGGTCCCGGACCTCTCTCGGTCGCGCTCAAGCCCCGTTTCCAGCAGCATCGCGGCCACCAGGCCGAGTGGCTCGAGCCGCGCTCCTCGTAGGTCGACGTTCCCGGGAGGGCTCGGGGCTCAGAAGTCTCGCCGCGTGGTGCGGAGCCGGGAGCCTGAGAGCCACTGGGCCGGGCGCTGTCCGCGGTGCTGAAGGAGGCGCCCCCCTGCCCGCCCCACCCGCGCGCCCGCCCACCTCCCGGGGTCCCTGTCCCCACCCCCGCTCCTGCCCCCCTCCCCGGTGCTCGGGGAAGGCAGCCTCACACTCGCACTCAGGGCAGTCCCCGCCCTCGCCCCAGACCCAGGGTGGCAGCGCCAGCTCCAGCTCCTCCCTGGGCTCCAGGCCAGGGTAGCAGCGCCCGCTCTGGCTCCTCCCCAAGCTCCAGGCCTCGCTGAGACGCCACGATTCGCAGCAAGCGGGTCGTCCTGCCGCGGGGCAGGAGGCCATTGACCCTACCCTTCTGGCGGGCAGCCTCTGGAAGGTAGTGCCCAGGCCGTGCCCCAGGATGGCCCCTTGCCTGATAACCTCCAACCCAGGGCTCACTGAGGCCCTCATGCAGGTATTTTGCTGGTCAAGGAACTTCCCGCTTTTTTTTTTTTTTAATAAAAAAATTGAGACGGGGTTTCACCGTGTTGGCCAGGATGGTCTCCATCTCTTTGCCTCGTGATCCGCCCACCTCGGCCTCCCAAAGTGCTGGCATTACAGGCGTGAGCCACCGCTCCCGGCCGGAACTTCCCGCTTTTAACCTCCTTGAACCCAGCCCCCAACTTTTGGGAAGAGCTCAGCCCGAGTCCCCCAGGTTGCCAGGAGGAGGGGCACCTGCAGTCCCCCTAACAAACGCTGCTCAGGACGCAAAACCTTGGGCATAGGCAGGGCCTCAGTTTCCTGCCAGCCTCTGAACAGCCTGGCCAGGGAGGTGCCAACCGGACTTCTCCTAAGCCACAGGCATGACTATTGGAGACCACTCCCCGCCCCCACCGGCACAGCAAAAGTGGGGGCGGGGCAAAAGAAAACGAAACCCCACAGGGCAGCGCAAACTCAGCCATGGCGGGACACTCACACCCGGGAAGCAGAGGGGTGGCCATTCATGCAGGCTGGGATTGCTCTGAGGTTCCCTCAAGCTGGGCTGCTGCCAGTGCCCTTTGAACTGTGTAATTTTACATGAGTCTCAGCTCCCTTTCATCCACCTGTAAAATCCAGGGTCTTGTCCTGTCTCTCCGTCCAGATCAGCTCCAAGGAGATAATCTATGATTGATTTCCATCTTTCACTTTCCATTTGACCCTTTGGCTGTCTCCCAAAAGCCAATGGTTCAAAATAAGAAATTCTAGAATTTCAGATGTCCAGTCCATAAACATAAAGAAGGGTCCATTGTGCACCCCACCACACCTACCACACTCTCATTGGTAGAGCTGGTTCACATTTCAAAAGAATCACAATTGTTTTCAAATGTCAGATTCCTTTATTCATAAAATGTGCACATTATAGTTTACTTAAATACAAAATGTTCACTTTCCTTGCAGGTAAGAAATTTCACTGACATTTCCATGTCAATTAGCTTATTTTTAATAAAAATCCTTCAGTTAAAAATAAATAAACATTTAAATTACTGAACTATTATATTCATTAGTCTCAATACCTCTTAAAATACTTAAAACTTGAGAAAATAGGCTCTAAACCTTGCCTAAAGGTGGCATCCAGCTCTGAGCGGTCACACAAGGTGTGTTACAGCATGGACATGTGACCCCTGGGGCCACCCCCACAGTGGCTCAGATCCCCACTACTGACACTGCTGAAAACCCTGCCCCTCAGCAGGTCACAAGCTTGTCCCCAAAACAGTGGTGACCCCAGATTGCAATAGGATGATGAAACTGCAGCCACACTGCGCTCCACATGGGTTTCTGGAAAGGCCGAAGCTGGAGACGGTAAACCTAACACTGTCCCAGGTCACCCCGGCTAAAGACATTCAACACTAACCAAAAGTCAGTTTAGTTAAGGGTTCAAAGGCAAATACACTGAAACCCATGTGTAGACCCGCCTGGTTTTCAAGCTGAAAGAGAAACACTTGGTGTCTTCAATAACACAGGCCTCTAACCAGCAATGAAGGCAACATCACGGCTGTCCAAGCACAGAGGGGTTGGAAGTGTGAAACCAGAAGAAACGCTCACGTGAGGGCCGTGAAGCCCGGGGCCAGGGCATCAGACACCTCTCCCACCAGCTACGGGGCTCTGGGCGGCATCCTTGGCGCAGCCATTCTGTGACGGCTGTTTAAGGAATCAGCTGCTGACCGTGTTCCTCAAGCCGCAACAACATGAATATTATGGTGGTCTTACGAATACACCATGTGATCCGCTGCGGTTAGTAAACACATGAGTACACACCGCCAAGGAGGCAAAGCGGAAAAAATATTTACCACTGTCAGAGAGACACACACACACACACACACACACACAGATGGTCACACAAACACATCTGAGCCTACTTTAGCCAAATCAAACTGAGCCTGTGAGACACACCAACAGCCACAAAGAAGCTCAATATAAATGTTCCCAGAAATAGTGTGTTTTGTTTAAATCTTCAGAGGTAACTGACCACTAAATGTTTTGGGTTTAAAACAATGTTTAAAATTATTAAATGGTAAAAGAAATAATGACCAAAGCTTTGGAAACCAGTGCCTGTGTGGAGATCCTTCCCAAAGCAGCTTCAGGCAAAGGAAACCTGGCACAGACGCCTGCCACCCCTGCCCCTCCATGGGCCCAGAGTGAGGTGCGTGTGTGGCTGGGATCTGCAGGCCTCTGTGGTGCTGGGTGAAGAGCAGACCACAGAGGGGTCTTTAGAAGTCTCCCTGGGGCTGTGCTCCCAAGGGCAGACCACTCTCCTCCCCACCCCCCAACAGAGGGGCCTCTGCTCTGAGCACCGCCTGCCCGCTGAGCCCAGAGCTGCCCTGCGGGGACCAGCTGTCCGAATGGCCTCCATTTACTTGTCTCTCTCTTGTCACCAGATAAACAAACAAAGGCACTGCCTCTGAGGGTTAAATAAGCCACCATCCTTCCCATCCCCAAGTCCACGGCACAAGGCCTCTGGGGGTTATCTTCTGAAATGCAGCACAGCCACGAAATTCCTCGGCTCCTCCCCTGTTCAAATCCCAACTGGAGTGAAAACACCTGCAGGAGCACAGCGAGCCCTCAGGAACCCTTCCCTAGGGAAGCCGTGGAAAGCACACTGGACAGTCACCGGAGCCGCACTTGCTTGGAGGAGCGCACGCCTGCACTTCCGGCTCTGCTCCGCCCCCGCCTGGCTAAAGGAGAACACTTGGCAGCCTGGAGGGGCGGGGGCAACAAGGCCTTGCAGGATGAGCCAGAGTCCAGGACACTTGAGATTGAAGTGTGTGGGGAACACTATTTGGCCTGGACTCCTTGCCCTGTTTTAGAGCAAACATAGAAAGCCTTTTTGCTGTAGAACCCGTGAAAGCAGTATGAACAGACTTGGGCGTGCCAGGAATGCAGACATCCGCACAAAATTACCCCACCTCTTCCCTCGTCAGAAGAGCGTTTGTGAAACGAGGACTAGGAAGCCAAAAGGTGCCATTGGATGTGAAACCGGGCCCGCATGTAAAATCCCTGATCCAATATTAAAGCTGCAGGTGGCACAGGGCGGGGCTGCCTCTCCGAGGGCACTCACACAGCCGGGTGGTGGTGCTTGACCTTCCACCGCCTGGATCTCACCCGGAAGAAGAAGTACATCACCATGAGGAACAGGGACGAGGCCACATACAGCACCACACAGAGACTCATGTCCAGGCTGGAGAAGCCAACCCCGAGGAAGGGCACGGCCACCTCCACCTGCTTGTGGACCTCGGGCCCATCCAGATTCTGGAGTCTCACGTCCAGCCTGTGGCGCAAGCTCTCCGGAAGGGCGGGCCTGGGGCCCAGCGCACTGGGTGGACGAACACTCTGGGCGTCTCGGTCTCCATGGGACTTCTCTGGGGGAGTGAGTCTTTTCTCCTCTTCTTCACCCCTAGCCAGCATTCCTCCTTCACCAGAATCCCCCTGGTCTGTGGAATATGTGTCTAAGAGGTTGTCGCGGCTGTAGTGCTGTTTTAAGAATGTGAGCACGTGGCCTTCATCCCAGCTGTCCAGGCCCTTCATTTCCTCATGGCAGGCTGGGCAGAGGTCTGGAGTGGGCCACTGAAGCTTTGGAAACCTGGGATCCTCACTCGGATGGCCTAGGAAGAAAAGGAAGCAGGAGAGCCAGAGGGAAGGAGGCCTGTGGGGCCAGGTGCAGTATCCGGCCAGCAGACTCCTACTCCGCCCACCACGGGCCCCCGCTGCCCCAGGGCTGCGTCCTGCCAGGCCTCCCTCCCTGTCCTTCCCACCTTTCCCTTGCAGTGCGGCCCAGAGGACACCTGCTTCCGCCGGCCTCTGCGCATGTGTCCCATCTGCCGTCTCCCACGCCTGCAAGTAAGGAGAGGCTACAGGCTCGGCCTCCACCACTTCCCGGACCACACCTGCCCCAAACCATCCGGCGCTTCACTCCCAAAACAGGTGACAGCGCACAGCTCTCACCTCGAGGCCTTTGTCCCCACGTCGCTGCCCTCTGCTCTTTCCCGAGGGTGCACCCAAGACCCACTGCCCCCAGTGCCCCAGCCACCTGGGCTGTACGGACAGTGGACCTTAGGTGCACCCTCAGGAAAGGGCAGAGTGGGTGGGATGCATTTCCGCTGGACTCAGGCACACTGGCCCTTTCCAGACTACAAATCCCTTTCTGCAGTGACGTGCTCACGCCGGGGAACAGCAGGACACACCAGCGGCCCCTCTGAAAGGTTACTGTGATGGTCTCTATCACCTCACACACTACTACTGATGCTATTTTGTAGAATAAGGAGCAAAGTTGACAACTTTTGTGGGGCTTTTTATACACTTCTTTAAAAAACCCTCAAACTTCTATTTTTTATGTTTAACCCTTTCATTAAAACGGTGGCGCTGGAGCCCAACAGCGTGTGTCTCCGCAGTGCGCTCGCTCTCAGGCTGAAAGGCGACGGACGCCTAGAGCCTTACTATGCTGAATTAAGATCAGGACTTCTCTAAAAAAATCAAGAAAGAAGAAAAGAAATACTGACGTGCAGAGAGACAAGCAGAGCTTGCCCCCAACTCTACTCCCAGACACACTGCAGTGGGAGAGGCCTGCGGGTCCCTCCTGCACATGCAAACACACACGTGTCTGTCCTGCCGAGACACCACCCACACCCCCTTCTACCGGGGTCTGTGCCCCCACGCAGCTCCACGCTTGTGAACACAAATCTACCACATACTTCCGACACCTGCATGCCCGCACGGGTGTGCTGGGTGTTTATCTGACCCGTGCCCTGTGGGCGGCCGTGCACACAACTCTGCAGCGAGCATCCTTGTAGACACAGCTTTGCACGCCCGCCATGGACTGCCAGAAGGGATGCAGACAGGACCCACCTTTGTAAGGTTGTGCTGCCCAGTGCTCGGCCACGCTTCAAAGAGGGCACTGAATCCCACAGAGGGGACAAAGCATGGACCAGCAGCGCTTGGTCAGAAGCTGCCAGAGCCTCGAATAGGACTGGAGAGTAAGGCACCAGCCCGGGGCAGAAGACCCCTGGCAGATCTCCGAGGGGCCTCCCAGGAGCTTGGGTCTCCATACATAGGCTGGAGGTGGGACTGGGTGGGGTGGGACTCTCAGGAGTGACAGTCACGCTGCGCGGGAAGGCCCCTTTCTGCTGCAGCCTCATGACGGGGGCAGGGGAGCCATAAGCAGGCTGGGGCCACAGGCCACAGCAGGGCCTCCGGGTCCAGGCAGCCCTGGCAAGGGTCCTGGTCCCACTGCCTTAGAGCCGAGGGCTCGGAAGGGCGCAGGGAGCTCTGTGGGTGGCAGCAACGCAGCGGCTGCCAGGGTAGAGAGGCTGAGACACTGTCCTGACCAGGGGACAAATCCCCCGGACATAGGCGCCTGCAGCCACATGCCCCAGACCCCGGCGGGCAGGCTCGGCACGAAGAAAACCCATTTTCCTTAGTGCTTTAGTGTAATATGTTTTCATAATACAGTGGATTAAATAAAAACCCATAGTTCAGTGGCATTTTCTTTATTAAGATTTATTTCTCAGCGGAATTATTTTTAAGCCTAATTTTAATCTGCCACTGATTTAGGAATACTTTGAAGTACTTAACTCTGAGAAAATACATGTGCCCTATTTAATTTTTTTTTAACAAAACCACTTTGAGAGGTTTGGTTTATGTTTGGACAACAGATTTTCATACTAAAATTCCTCATCAAAAATTATGTTCCGGCCAGGCGTGGTGGCTCATGCCTGTTATCCAAGCACTTTGGAGGCCAAGGCAGGCGGATCACCTGAGGTCAGGAGTTCAAGACCAGCCTGACCAACATGGTGAAACCCCATCTTTATTAAAAAAAAAAAAAGAAAAAAAAATTATGTTCCAAGCTTTCCAGAGCCAAATACCCTCAGGGTCTAGTGGGGTACCCGAGGGTATGACAGGAAGAAAAAGCCACACCCATGTCCCCAAGGGCCCAAGAGCTTCCTGGAACGAGAGAGCCATCTGGAAAGCCAGACAGAAGCAACGTGGGAAGGCTGTGGCTCTGGCAGCTCCTGGCCACCCAAGTCCTGATCGTGTCAGCACAGCAGGTGGCACGAGGCCACAAAGCTCAGAGGCAAGCCCCGCCACAGCCCTGCCATCCCCGCTGTCCCCAGGACCAGGGCTTCCCATGCCCATGCTGAGACCCCACACCCAGGCGCTTCTCACCTGCCAGGCGGCCGTTCACCACGTTATGCTTCCTCCAAAGCCAGAGGATGGCTTGGTCTGGGGTTTTCACTGAGTCCATGGATTCTTTAGCCATTTCCTCAAAGTGCTCACCACACTCCTTACACCCAAAGAAGGTGCGAATGTACCTCCTCACCGTCTGCAGCACAGCCTGGGGGTCGTCTTCAAAGCCTGCAGGGGAAAAAAACGCCACTGACAACAGCAGGTGCTGGGGGGTCACCTGACCCCACGCTTGTCCACAGAGCCTGGGGGGAACCGCTTCTTACACATCTCGAAGCCCCCTCATGTCTCCACAGAGGCCTCAGGCTGTGGGCACAGACCAGGAGCCAGCGCCTGCCCAGATGTCCAACACGCCCAGGTCCCGCACACTCTGGAGACACGATGACTGTGCACAGCAGAGAGGCCAGAAGAGCGCGGAGAAGATGAGCCACCTGGGCCCCGGGGGCCCTTCCAGGAGCACCTTGAGTCTCCCACCAGGCTTCCGGCTGTCCGTGCCAGAATGCCTGGACCGCCAAGCTTCTTCCTCGGGATCTGCCAGCTGGGTGCAGTCCCTCTTGCCCTATAAGCAACTCCCAGAGGCTGATGCCAGGGCAATGACACTGCTCATTCTAAATCTGTAGTTGTCGTGTCTGAAAGCCCCGCAAGGCACCAGCGCAAGTGGGGACATGGCCTTAAGAAGTGACTCTAGGCTGCCACCAGCCATGGGTGTGAGGAGGCAGAGTGGGTGGGCGGGCACAGGGATGGGTGCACCCACAAGCCAAAGTTCATGCCACGGTAGGTTAAAACTGACACGGACGGGCCGTGGAGCCCGTGCAGACACTGTGAATGAACTGACACGGACGGGCCGTGGAGCCCGTGCAGACACTGTGAATGAACTGACACGGACGGGCCGTGGAGCCCGCGCGGACGCTGTGAATGAACTGACATGGACGGGCCGTGGAGCCCGCGCGGACGCTGTGCATGAACAACACACGTCTCAGGAAAGCAACCCCCGCCCACAGGTGGCAGAAGAGGCTAGCACCGCCCTGAAGGGGAACCCCTAAGAAAACCAAGAGGGCAGCATGGGGTGGGGCTCGGCAGTCCCCACTCAGACAACTAATACAGGAGCCTGAACGCAGATAGGAGACCCACGAGATTAAAACAGATTACATGTCAGCATTAAAAAAAGACATGCTTTGGAGAATGAGCCCGTCTTCGTCGACAGCAGGCCCTGGGGGAGCTCCCCGCGCTGGTGCAGGCCTGACGCCTGTCGGGGCTCCCTGAGAGCACAGCTGTGCGCAGGCCCTGATCTCAGCGTCCAGGTCAATCCCTAATCCACAGGGTTCTCGTTTCTTTCACCCAGAGCAGGTGAGAGCAGAGCAGACCTCCTCCTCCTCGGCCTTGAGCGTGTCCACAGGCAGCTGGGCGATAATGCAGATGGGATGGCAGGCGCTGGCCCTGCCACCCGGCCCGTCTGCCCTGCTCTCCCGCCAGGAGGGCTCCACAGACATCTGCCCCGCATCACCACGGAACCCCCCTCCTCTTCCCACCACATCACCGTGGGTGCGGGGCCCCCCTCATCTTCAGAGTGGACAAGAACCGTCAACCTCTACCTGTGGGGGGATCAGCGGCCTTGCAGGCATTTTAGTAGATGGGGCTTAAACATACAGCAAAGAGAAGAAAAACCTTCCAAGACTTAATCCCGTGGCCGCCTCTGACCCAATTCTCTTGGCAGGAGGCTACTCCTGGAACCTGCTTCCAATATGCTACGGGAGGGAGGAGCGCTGAGGGTCTCGTTAGTGGTGAGCTTTGCCATCACGCTGCGCTCACAATTCCACTACACTAGGGCCGCTCCTGGAAGAGTTTCCAATCAAATACCCCGGCCCCACCGCTTCTCCCTGGTCTGCACTGTGCCCACACTGCCTTCGAGCAGCCGTGCCTCATGCCTGGGTGATCAGAGCAGATGGAAAGGGGGACGGTGTGATGGCGCAGCTGCTTCTCACCACAACCTTCCCCATGTAAACATGGTTTCGTGACTCAGGCTTGTTTCAGAAGCAGCTTTTTTGGAGACAGAGTCTTGCTCTGTTGCCCAGGCTGGGGTGCAGTGGCACAATCTCGGCTTGCTGCAACCTCCAGTGCTGGGATTACAGGTGTGAGCCTTGCGCCCAGCCCAAAATCGGGTTTACATGGTCTGGCTCGGCATTCGCTCGGCAGTGTGGATGCTCGGATTTCAATTTCTGTTTGGGCAGCTCCCAAGGTTTCTCCCAAAAAACATATATATACCTCTTTTTACTGTATGAGTATGAAAATGATTTGAGGTTAAAAACCACCCTCTCCCCCAACCAGACCCCTGAGAAGCAGTAATCCAACGTCACCCTGCAAGCCAGGACAGAAGAGATTTTCAGACAGCCACTGCAGTGCCCCCATCCTGGGAGACTCTCCCATACTGTGACTTTGCTGCTTCTCCCATTACCAGGTGGAATCTATTTCTCCCAGCACAAATGTAGGCTGGATCAACAGGAGGTGGCAGACGCGATGCCTCCACACTGAGGCCTCTCAGGAGGTCCTGCCTCAGCCTGGTGCTACCTGGTGGGGAAGCCACATTCAGGAATATGAGGCACTCGGAGGTCCCCTGGGCCAACTAGCTGCCGCCAGATGAAGGCAGCCACACGAGTGAGCCCAAGCAGCACTCACAGAAGAACCACCCGGCTGAGCCCGGCCCAAACTGCTGACCCACAGCATGATAAGCAAACACAGAGGAGGCTGCTTTACGCCCCGGCATTTTGGGTTACTTTGTGACATGGCAAAAAATAACTGTAAAAGAATTTGACAATTTTCTTGGAAACAGGATTGAACTGTTTGAGTAAAAGACTCCAGCTTGGCTTTAAAGTAAACGTTACTGAACCTAAATCACTGCTTAAACTGGGAAGCACACACACAGCCAAATCCAGAGGGGATTAAAAAAGCCAATATATACTTCAGTGTTCTGTGAAGGACAGAGCAGTTCATTTTATCTATTTCCTACTAATTGAAAATTATTAAATCCAACTTTAAAGCTTTATAGGTTTTAACCCCTCGTGCTGGACGGCCTCTGTCCTGGCCCCCACAGATCCAGCCACCTAAACTCACCCCTCCTGTAATCCCCTCCCCTTGCAAGTGGCCTGGACCTGGGGACGGACTAGTGAGCAGAATCTGGCATAGATGACAAAATGTCATCCTTGGGTGAGCACCCTCTTGCTGGCTCCCTGACGAAGCTTGCTGCCATGATGTGAGCTGCCCCACAGAAAGGCCCTGGGCATGGCCTCTGGCCAGCAGCCAGCTTGGAGCTCAGGACCATGTACAAGGAGGCGCGCCCTGCCCTCTTCTCCAAGAGGGTACTGGGAGGCCGCTCTCTCCAGGTGGGCCTCAGGTACCCTCCAGGCCTGGCTGACACTCGACTGCAGCCTCACTGATCCTGAAGAGGACCCCGATGAGGCCATGCCCGACCTCAGAAACTGTAAGCTCATAACCATGGGTGGCTCTGGCTGCTTAACTTTGGGGTGATTTGTCATGTAACAGCTGATAATGAATATACCACTCCAAATAGATTTCACTTATTCTCCCATTTTTTTTTTTTTTTAAAGCAAAAACAGGGAGTTTACACTGCAGGGAAATTCCCAGCCAGGGTTCCCTCACTTCTCTGTGGTTTATTTCCTGCATTTTAGCCATTCACATCCTTGTGAGTTCGAATGAGGGGCACTCATACCCTGAGGGCACAGCCCTGGGTGAGCTGCTCACGTGTGAGGAGTCTGAGGAGACACGCTACTTCACATACAGCAGAACACGCCTTCACACGCGCTGGCTGGGGTAGCGTGTGGGGCAGACCATCGGCGCCTCTGGCCTGCGCAGGGACAGCTCACCTGTGCCAACCAGTGCGTCTGGGTGGGCCGAGGCTTGAACAGTCAAAGTGTGGAACAGTTTCCAGAGAGAACATGGGTAACCCCTCAACTCAGGTCGGCTTCCTTGACATCCAACCCACTTTATGTGATTAGTAAGGAATATTCCAGAAATCTGAAAAAAAAAACAAAGAATAAAAGACAATGGTTGAAATTAAAAACAGTCGACAGAAACCTTCTTGACTAAGGGGATGGCGATGGGGGTGTAGTTTACTGAAGCTGCATCAACTGCACATAAGATCTGTGCCTCCCACCACATGCAAACCTAAATTCAAGGAAACAAAGGAGAGGAATGGTTTCCTTCACTAAAGCAGCTCTCAGGCCAATCTCTGGAGAGAAGAGAAAGTTTTTCTGTATCTTGATAAACTAGTAACGTACCTACCTTTTCTTCTAAATTAGAATTCGCTATAATGACAGTATTAAAAGAAAAGGCAAGTAACAACAGAGAAGCTCACCTGTCAAGTAATTCTCAGCCAGAAAACAATGTGTGTTCACTTTTTTTTTTTTTTTGAGACAGACTCTCACACTGTCGCCCAGGCTGAAGTGCAGTAGCACAATCCCGGCTCACCGCAACCTCCACCTCCCGGGTTCAAGCGGTTCTCCTGCCTCAGCCTCCCAAGTAGCTGGGATTACAGGCGCCCACTACGCCCAGCTAATGTGTTGTATTTTTAGTAGAGATGGGGTTTCACCATGTTGGCCAGGCTGGTCTGGAACGCCTGACCTCCTGATTCACCCGCCTCGGCCTCCCGAAGTACTGGGATTACAGGCGTGAGCCACTGCGCCTGGCCTAAGGTGTGCTCACTATTGGAGGCGGCCATGGGAGCCGGTGACTGCTGGCGAGTGGGGCTGTGAGCCCCGGGCAGATTCCCTTCAGTCTGGTCTCGTGTCTCATCAGCCTTTCCCTCCCTAAGGGCTCCTGAGCCTGTGGTGTGCTCTCAAGGGAGGTGTCACACATCACAGTCACGTGAGAGGATGCTCCCGCGGCCTCAAGCTCGGAGTGGATTCAAGGTGGAAGAGAGGCTCAGGCCAGGCGCCCAGCACCGTCCGCTGCTCAGTTGCAGCCAGCAAATGGCAAGGCTGGCAAAATCATGGCACAATAAATTCCCCTTAAAAGATTCCCAGATCTGCTGTGTGCCACTGACAAGCAGCACGCTGGGTTTGCTTCCCGCTACTAAACACTCCGGGGGCCGCAGAGAAGCTGCTGATCTGGACTAAGGAGGGAACAGCAGGCGGCAGTGCAGACCTCTCAGGGTGCTGGTCCCCTGAGTGAAGGCTGGCACCTGCTGGCACCTGGGCTTGGGGAAAGCTCCAGCAGGGCTGCCACATCATTTTTTGTTAGATTGGCTTACTAAAATTTTTGAAGTCCAAGTACTACACTGCTTAAGAAAGCCCCGTTTTCTCCAAAGGACGGGCTGTCGCAGTGCACTTTCGGTGGGCTGTCCTTAAACCGAGGCCTGGGCGTGACGCTGCCAAGGCAGACATGAGGCCGTGGCCATGACGCTGTCACGGAAACAGGAACAGTAACGGTCGCTGCTTCCCTTCCTCACCGCAGAGCCAGGGCCCTGAGCAGGGAGGAGCTGCACCAGCGAAGGGCGAGGGAAGGAGGGCGCAGCGCGGCTGGCGAGGGTTCTGGGCTCACCCGCATCTTGTTGTTGACCAGGTCCAGCACGGCGTTGTAGGGGATCCTGTCCAGGGGAAGGCTGGCCAGCCACTCCTGCAGCATCTCCAACAGCTTCCTGACTGATGGCCGTCCGGGGAACAGCTGCACAAGGAGGGAGCCACCCTGAGGGCTACAGGCCCAAACCTGGGCCCGCCCCCGCCGCCAGGGGCACAGCACCTCCAAGGACAAGCCCTCCATCCACAGAGGGACTGAATCTAGGACGGGGACCTCTCTAAGAACTCTGATGGGAGGCAGGAAATCTGAGGGGCTGTGGGGTGGGTGTCCAGCCAGCACCTCTCCCCAGGACAGCCTGCACCCATGGCCATGCCCTTCCCCAGCTGTCTTCGGCTCACCCACCTGTGCCCATGGCGTTGCTCCCGCCAGGTGACAGGCAAGGTCATGGTGTGTGACTCATCACAGAGCTGGCAGGGCCTGCTGATTTTATTCCACCTTCCTCACAAGCAGCTCCACTGACCCCGCCTCTGCCATCACCCTGGGCTAACTGCCTGCAGGCTCATGTGGGCCCTGACACTGGCCGACATCCCAACAGCTTGGGGAGCGTCTGGCTGAGAAGACCCCAGGGCTCTGTCTTTTTATGAGGAACTCTGATCGGCTACTGCACCACAAGCTGTAAAACACAGGTCGCCGAGAGCGCTCTTAACACCTGAGCTGAAACCTCACGGTGGCGATGCTGGGGCAGAAACCTGGGCATCCTCAGCTCAGTCCCATGTAGGCTAAAAAGTACCATGATTCATTTACCAGTATCGAATTTATTTTGGACATCCAAGTAAACTTCAGAAAAATACAAAGAATAACTTACTAATACCTTGGCCTAAGGAGTTACCTACAGCACAAGCATAAGAGCTCCGGGCCCAGCCAGACTCAGGGACGAGACTGAGAGGCGGGGGGAGGAGGGCAGGTCGGCCTCTCGACAGCTGTGAGACTCCGGCGAATTAGCTGGCCGGCGGCCACCACTAAGAGCCACCCTGTCCCCTGCTAATATGATGGACAGATTAGCAGGACACTTTCTTAAAGGAAATGAGGCCAGCTAGAGATTTCTGAACTCTGAATGGCACCGGGGGGTAAAAACCTGCCTGGGCAACGTTCGTGCATGCATCTGAAGCACCTCTTAAGTAAACTCTACCCAAAGTGCTCACTATAAATGATTCTGTCATGCATCTTACTTTTGGCAAGAGAAATATTTTAAGCATAAGCCTCCATGTCATTTAGACAGTAACAAGCAACTGAGGTTGTGGAGTTCTATCTGGGCACAGCCAGGCCTGAGCTCTGTTGGGCTGTGTCTCTGCCTGGTCCTGGCCACCCCCCAGTGGTCTCAGACACCACAGTGTGCTGGTGACGGCGCTGACTGTGAAGGCCCCAGGACCGCTCCCTGCACCTGGCAGGTGGAGCAGGTGCACACCACCTGGGTCTGCACTGCCCGGCCTCCCCTCTCCCCACAAGCCCTGTGCACTGGCCCGAGAGCCAGCGGAGGTGTGTGCCTGCATCTCCTCTCCAGACAGCCAGGGCTGGGCTTTACCAATAGGTGCTTGGCTCATGCCCCCTGCCCCTCCCTCTGCCCCTCTCCACATCCACCGCCCCAGCCCCAGTGCTGGGAACGGCACGCAGGCAGGAGGCACTTGGGAAACTGGTGGAATGAGTTGGGGCGCGGGCCTGGGCGGACAAAGCGAGGTGGGGAACACCTCCTCAACGGAGGCTGGCGGAGCCCCCCGCATGTCCGACGGCCCTGGGCACCCACTCTGTGCAGGGCCCAATTCCCACAGGCAGTCCAGACCAGAACCGTCCCGCACCTTCGCCAAGACAGTCACAAAGTCCTTGAGCGTCTTCAGCTCCGCTCCGGCCAGCGACCTGTGGGCCGCCAGCTCCACCCGCAGGAGGTAGTGCAGCCCCGACTCCAGGTCCGCCGTGTACAGCTTCGACCTAGGACGGAACATGGTGGCGTCAGGGCACGCTGGCCTTTCCCTCCCTGTCCCGGCTGCTCCCCTCGGACTCCCGGCCCCGGGAGGGTTCCTGGCGGCCCTCAGCGGCTGTGACAGGTTTCTGAGCGAACCCGCCCTGCAGTCTACACGCACTGTCTCCCGGGGACTTCTGTTCAAGAGCAATACTTGCTTGTCAAATTCCCTCCAAACCACGACTTCTGAATTTTCTTCTTTGTTTGGCTTTTCAGGCAAGGAGAGTGGTTTTTTCCTCACATCTGGCAATGACTTCAAATAAGAGGAAAAGAAGGCCCGAAGAGGCTTCGCGCTGTGAGAAAGGGGAGGGCGAGGGTGAGAAGAGCCCCTTTATAAGATCCTCCCGTCAGAGCCCGGGTTCAGGAAAGCTCTGGCCCGCCCCATTCAGCCTTCGGGCATTTACTGGGGCCTGGGCTGGGCTGAGCTGCCACCTGAGGGATAAGAGGAGACACACCAAATCCACAGATTTACAACCAGTTCCAGTTGTGACAGAGCTATGACTCATTTATGTCTGTGGGGATCTTAAGGCGTTTTGTGAAGCTGGGTTGAGCATCTGCCAAGATCAGCTTTACTCCGACTGCGAATCCCTACATGCCTAAGAGCCCTCGCTGGCGCGCCCACAATCTGCCAGCCCTGAGTGGGGCATCTGGAAGTCGGGCCTGGGTGGATGTCAGCCCCCCGAGCTCCCCGCACGCCCATCCTGTGTGGACAGCTTGGAGCCGCCCTTCTGAGGACATGCCTGATGCCGTGACCCGGCACTTCAGGGTGACTCATGCTGTTTCTGAAGACAGGTGGAAGGGTGATATTTGCAAAAGTATTAAAATACCTATGAAAACATTAACATTATTTTAATTAAGAAGTTGTCTACGGGATACTTTTCACACTGAACAAACCTGGCAGTGGTTCAGGCAGCTGTGCCAAGGGCAGCGGGGTGCCCCGGACCTGGAAGGGCCACCTCTTTGGCAGGGCAGGGTCCCCAAGCACTCAGAGCATTTCCCGACAAGCTCAGTGGCCTCTGTGGTTACCCTGAATTCCAGCTTTATCTTCTCTATTTTCACTTTTTATTTATTTATTTATTTTTGAGACAAGATCTTGCTCTGTTACCCAGGCTGGAGTGCGGTGGCGCAGTCTCAGCTCACCGCAGCCTCAACCTCCTGGGCTCAAATGATCCTCCCACCACAGCCCCCTGAGTAGCTGTGACCACAGCTAATGTTTTCTTTCTCATAGGATGGAGTCTCAGTATCAACCCTGGCTGGTCTCAAACTCCTGGGCTCAAGCGATCCTCCCACCACAGCCTCCCAAAGTGCTGGGATGACAGGTGTGAGCCACGCGCCTGGTTTCTTTCTCAAAAGGACAGAAAACCAGCTAAGCAGCTGCGGTGCTCGGGGCTCCTGCACGGCTCCCTCTCTGCCCCAGTCGCTTCAGAAGAGGCTGGACTGGAAGCCGTCAGAGACAGGAAACACGTCCTGTCTTCTCACTGCTGTGTCCCTGCACCCAGAAGCCCAGCCTGGGGACTCACCAAGAGCTGCAGAGGACAGTGCAGCTGAACCAGCATGCGCCGGAAGGATGCAGGCTGGGGCAGGGGCCGCCCCATGTGCGGAAGGCCTCACACCGCCCTTCTCCCCCGGGGGAGGGGGAGGCCAGGTCCCCTCCAGCCTCACCATGTTACTTAACTTTCTCAACCATTTATCGTTTGCTTTTTTTTTTTTTTTTGAGACAGGATCTGGCTCTGTCACCCAGGCTGGAGTGCAGTGGCGAAATCCCAGCTCACTGCAGCCTTGACCTGTGAGGCTCAAGAGATCCTCCCACCTCAGCCTTCCGAGTAGCTGGGACAACAGGCATATACCAGCAGGCCCAGCTGTTTTATTTTAGTATAGATGGGGTCTCACAGCGTTGCCCACACTGGTCTTGGACTCCTAGACTCAAATGACTCACCTGTGCCCAGCCTCATTTTTCCTTTTCCAGCCTTATTGTAGACGTCTCTACTGTTTAGCTGGGTGTATCTTAGGGGCACACAGGCACTCGCACAGAGGCAAAGGGCTTGTCAGGCTTCTGTGGCTCTCAGAGGAGAGAGCAGCAGCACAAGAGGAGCGGGGCCTGGGGCCCACCCTACCTCTCATTCTGCGGAGGCGGGGGCGTGGGCTTGTCTACGGCAGGGCCTGGTGCCTACCCTACCTCTCATTCTGCGGAGGCGGGGCCGTGGGCTTGCCTGACAGCCCCAGACACGGCCCATGCTGCAGCCCAGAGTCCACAGGGAGCAGGGTAGGAGCACCCGCTGCTCCTTAAGCCCGGCCCAGCAGCCCTTGAGCAGGTGCTGGTTCAGCCACAGTTTTCTCTGTGGCTCTTGGTGAGTCACCACACCAGGCTCCTCCCAGGTGCAGCGACAGCAGTGAGAAAAAAGAAGTCCACGAAAACAGCGCAGATCAGCAAGACCCAAGAGCTGAGGGCCAGGGCCCAAATCTGCCCAGGGAAGGGAGGCGGAGGGGCTGGGGCTCCCCGGATTTCACACCAGACTCGCCCCGTCTACTCGGAGCCTCTGTCCGGTAACTGCGCACGGCATGGGTTTCCCGGATCCCACCCTGAAACTCACACGTTAATCAATCCACGTGACCCATTTGGGTGGATCAGGTAACACGAGGGAACTGAAGAAACCCCGAGTTTCTCCAGAAACGCTTTGTCCCCGTCCAGCGCTCGGGTGACCACGATGTTTTCATACGGGATCAGGTCTAGGATCACCTGGGTGATGAGAACACAGTGACATGTCCACAGGACAGGACAGTCTTCCCAGAAAACGCGGCGCTGTGCAGACACACGGCCCCGCAGGCAGCCTTTCACAGCTGGACAGGACGTTTCTCCCACAGCAGGCAAGACCCTCACGCGCACCTCCATTTTTATCACACTTTAGGGCAACTGATGGGACATACCATGGGCAGAAACTACAGTGTTACTTGGCAATTTTACAGTCAAAGTCAAATAAAACACTTATTAATGAATCTGCATTTGACTCTCTAAAGCCAGTGTGCCCCCCACAACACTGACACTGGTCAAGCGGGGCCCTGCACACACCAGCCATGCCCCACGGCCTCACACGCCTGTCCTGCGTGTGGAAGCTTCGTGGCCGGGGCAGCAGGTCTCGAGCTGCCGCCCCCCCCCCCCAGCCACCCTGCTCCTGTCTGCTTTTGCTTGGGCTGAAGGGGCAGCAGTAGGGTCTGTGGTAGAGGGACCACAGGAGTGGCATCTCAGGATTTCGGGAGAAACCCCGTGTGTGCCACCGCCACATGGGGCATATGTGTCTCCTTCTCTTAGATGGCAACAAAACCAGCTGTTTCTCAAATCCAGGGCCCTGGCTAGAGGAGTGGACGGGCGCACCCTGAGTGACCGTGCCCCTCCTGAGTTGGGCATGTCTGCTGAGAGCTGATCACTACTCTGGGGCCACACTGGTCTCTGGCCTGGGCCCTGCCACAACTGTGCTGAAGAGCACTCCTCCCGCATGCCAGGGAGGCAGGAGAGCGGGTCCAGCAGCAAGATGGGCCCGCACGCCCCTCTTCTCGGGGGAACTCCTGCCTCTGGTCTGCATGTGTGTGTGCATGTGTGGAGGCCCCATCCGAGACAGCGAGTGCACGAGGGAACCCTGGGACAGGGCGAGGGGGCTGGGAGAATACCACACCGCCTGTGGCTCCTCAGCCCTCCACAGAGAATCTAGCCAACCACAGGGAGGCATCCTGGCATCACACTAAGCCTGCAGGAGCGGTGCTGGGGTGCCAGGAGGGCAGCCAGGGCATGAAGCGAGGTGGCCACAGTGCAGGTGCCTGCAGCTTCCTTCCCACGCGTGCCTCCAAAAGCCCTCCCAGGGCAAAGCTGCTCCCTCCCTCCACCGCCAGGCCCCCCAGCGCAAAGCCCTCCCGGGGCAAAGCTGCNCCAGCGCAAAGCCCTCCCGGGGCAAAGCTGCTCCCTCCCTCCACCGCCAGCCCCCCAGCGCAAAGCCCTCCCGGGGCAAAGCTGCTCCCTCCCTCTACCGCCAGCCCCTCCGCAGTGGACAGAAAAGCAGTTGCCCAGCAAGCTGCAAGGAGGAGGAAGAGCAGCTCAGGGTGCTGGGCGAACGCATTGCGACGAGGCCTTCCCTCATCTCTCGTCTCCGGGAAGACGGTTGGCAGTAACCACTTTCCGTGAGCTGCCCCTGCACCTGGTCCCTGGATCTTATTTAGACTGCGCCAAAAGCAAGGCTTTTGACTGTTCGTGTGAAATCAAAGTACCACAATGACAGAAACCATGTTTTACAGAATCCTGGATTTGGCAAAAATGTTGAGAGTTCAGAATACGGCAACAAAAACATCTCAGTAATAACATGTAAGAAACCCGGAATGACCTCAGGGTGAGATGCATGGGTCACAGCTTCACACCTGGGTGAGGCCGGCTTCTGAACCCTCCCACCGCCAGGCTTGTTCCTCCTAACGCTTCTCCAGGCACCGGGGACTCTGCTGAGTAACACCAACTATGCCTCTGATCACGACCGAGGACTAAAGCCACAGGCAGGAGACGAGACGCTGAAGCAGTCACCAGCACCCGATCTACCGCCACCCCCAATCGCACCACGCGGCGACACACGCAGCCCACGCAGACGAAATACCTCTCGCCCAAGGTAGGAGCTGTTGCTTTCAAAGACAATAGCCACGTAATGGCTGCCACGGTGGTCAATGAGAGAAAGAACATCACTGGGCCTTTTAAGAGAAAGGAAGAGGCTTTTAGGGCTGTCAACAGCATCGAGCTGGCCACCACGTCCCAGTGGCCACATCATTTAATAAAACCTATTAAGTTTCTCGCGCAGTTCCACGTGAGTCTAACGCCGCCTTCTTCCTAGAGCTACTCACTGGATGGGGTTCAGGGGCGGGCAGGCAGGCGGCCGGCTCCCTTCCGTGTGGTTCTGCAGGAAGTCAATCATGGTCTGTCTGACTGTTCGCAGCTCGCGGTCAGGTCCTGCTGGAAGCACAGCAGGGTGAGAGCTGTGTGTGCAGCTGTCCTTGCGGGGCAGGCCCATACCCAGGGATAGCAGTCCCGCCCACACCTGGGCCCAAAGACAGCAGAGTGCAGGTGGCAGTGGCATGTATAATCCCAGTGGTGTGCTGACGCCACCCACAGGCGTGGTATAGACAGCACTGGATTCACACGCCTGGAGACCACACAGCAATGAAACAAGCGTGGCTGGGCCTCAAGTGTGGATGGGCCACAGGGATACGGCAACAGCGGCAGATGGTGAGACAGCATAGCCAGGAGCAGGCCCGGCTACGCCACCAGGTCACTCACACCCAGAGCCCCCCGAGGGTGTGGTCTGCAGGGTCTGCTCACACTCTGGGCGATGCTCACCTGGGTGGAATTGTTTGTAAAAATTCCTTGGGTGTGTACATGTGATCTGTGCACGTCTCTGAATATTTTTACAAGAACAAATTCACTCTGAAAAAGTTTTTACTATCATATTTGCCAAGCAAGGCAAAGCACAGAATGAAAACTTCTCTTTGAAGCTATTAATGTTTGAACCCTTTTTTTTTTTTTTTTTTTTTTTTTTTGAGACGGAGTTTCACTCACGTTACCCAGGCTGGAGTGCAATGGCGCGATCTCGGCTCACCGCAACCTCCGCCTCCTGGGTTCAGGCAATTCTCCTGCCTCAGCCTCCTGAGTAGCTGGGATTACAGGCACGCGCCACCATGCCCAGCTAATTTTTTGTAGTTTTAGTAGAGACGGGGTTTCACCATGTTGACCAGGATGGTCTCGATCTCTTGACCTCGTGATCCACCCGCCTCGGCCTCCCAAAGTGCTGGGATTACAGGCTTGAGCCACCACGCCCGGCCTAATGTTTGAACTCTTAAGAGAAAACCGGGAGGCAGGTCAGCAGAGGCGAAGGTGCTAGCCCGGCTGGCAGCTCCCCAGGCTCTGGGACCGTGCGTCTTCAGCAGGTTTAAGAGGGGAATCTCAGGAATTAAAATAAATGCTTTCGTCCTTACCTTTAAAAGTTTCTCCAGTTGTAAACTCCTTTGTAAATGCTTTAAAATACTAAGAGGAAAAACAGAGATCAAGTAAGAGGCAGCCTCCCGTGGGCATCCGCACATTTGTCTAAGCAACAAAGTGACTGTCACCTCAGAGAGCTTGACTCAATTTCCTTTGGAAAGTTTTCATAAACTGATGAAACCACAGGCTTCTCTGTGTCTCTGTGCACATGAGCGTGTCCTGTCAGACTTACGAAGGGGCTGATGTAGCACCAATCAGCATTCCCATCATTTACATTTTCTGACCCAGCAAGGCTAGAAGCCACACAACTCAGCTGGGCTGGAATCACACAGGACACTGCTCTCTGGGACTGGGTAGTGAGCGTGAACCTAACGGTGAGCTGCAACAACACGAAGGATTTGCAGGAGGAGGAGGCACCACGCAGCATCTCTGAGTAGATGAAAAGGGTTCTTATGTTAAAATTAAAAACTTTCTGCATCAAAAGGCACATCACAGATAGTGATGAGACAAGGTTACAGGATGGGCGGGGATGAAATCGGTAAGAAAAGCACTCTTGAACCAAGAGAGAAACAGGCAGACGACAGGCACAGACACTCCCCACAGTGGCACCCACAGGCACGGACACTTCCCACGGTGACACCCACAGGGACGGACACTTCACACGGTGACATCCACAGGGACGGACACTTCACACGGTGACACCCACAGGGACGGACACTTCACACGGTGACGCCCACAGGCACGGACACTTCACGCGGATGCCCACAGACATGGACACTTCCCGCGGTGGCGCCCACAGGCACGGACACTTCACGCGGTGACGCCCACAGGCACGGACACTTCNCGCCCACAGGCACGGACACTTCACGCGGTGACGCCCACAGGCACGGACACTTCACACGGTGACACCCGTAGCCCACAAAGCCAGCTGTGCGGGCACCACGGCCACCGGGGAAATGCAAAGGAAGCCGCCGGTGCTTCTTGGCAGGCTGTTCTGTGGGTGAGCACAGGCCTGGCGCGAGGCCCAGGGGTTCTCTTCCAGCCTCAGCTCTTCCCGCACCCGGGAATGCACACAGCAGGGTCATTCGAAACCACCAAAGCCTAGAAAAGCCCAGACACCTGGCAACGAGGGGTTCTGGTCCTCAGAGCAACGCCACTGGACAATCCTATCCCATCATCCAATGGGTACCATGGTGGATACGGACATCCCGTTAAGTAACAGAAAGAAGGCCCGGAAGTTTCCACATAGCAGTGTGGCCTGCGTCTGAAGCTAAAACAAAATAGGAAGCCATCCTGATGTGATCACACGCTGGGGCAGGCGAGCAAGTGTGCCACACAGGCCCCGAGAGGCCCTGGGGCGGGGCTGACACCCGGCCGCCCAGCGTGCCACCTGTCGGGGCAGGACCACAGGTGCTGCCAGCACAGTCAAAACAGCAGCCCAGGAAGCAAGGAAGCCACTGTGACGTGACACCGCACCACACAGCAGGGTGCCAGGGCTGACAAGGACGGGTCACAAAGCTTCCTGCGAAGTGGGCCGAGGTGCCCACGTTTCCGGAGGTGTCCGTTTCCAGGTGTGCAGGAGGTGACAGCGTCCACGTGAGCTCTGCACCGGCCATGACAAGGTCACAGGCACCTCTGCCCCCTAGTGGGAGCAATGGGCACAGCGTCATCGGCAGGCTGACCTCAGCTGAGGAAGGCACAGGTCGTGTGTGCGCCCGGTGTGAGTGTGTGAGTGCGTGTGAGGGCATGAGCAGTGTGAATGCATATGGGTGCATGTGAGTGTGCATGTGTGAGAGTATGTGTGTGTGGCCCACTGAGGAGCCCCGTGGTACACAGACCACACGTGTGGCCTCAGGCCAGAGTGCCAGCCCTCACACTCCCCGCGTCCTCACGCCCCGGGGCTGTGCAGGCTGCAGGGGTCTTTCCACGCACCCTCCGTGTGCGCAGGGCTGTGTGTGCACGGACAGTCCCACAAGCGCTTCCACCACACAGCGAGGTGAACGGGAGCTGCCCCCGCAAACATCAGCTCCTCCAATTCCTGCTGAGTTTCAGGCAGCAAAAGCCAGAGCAGCCGAACGCAGGCAGCACAATGTGGCGGATTTTAACAGAGCCCACGGTACTCACCCGGAAGGTGGGGTAGAAGTGGATGTCGTAGTCATGGCACACGGCCTGGTTCTTGTCTTCCATGCAGTCCAGAGCGGCGATGCGGATGGCGCTGGCCCAGTCTAAAACGCAGGGGCACGACCTTCAGCGTGGTGAGCACTGAACTCCCATGAAGCCCAGGACCCGGCGGGCCCACTCCCGGCTGCCGCCCCTGAAAGACCAGCCCCCCGGCCCTTCCGGGTCATCAGTCAGGCCCTCTCCACAGTGTCTGCGTGGAGCTAGGAAGAGGATTTCCACCAGCAGCTCGGTGCCTCTCCCCCCACAGATGATCACAGAACACGCGGACTTGTGCGGAACGTGCACGTCACGGAGCAGGGACGAGGCTGTGGTCCCTAATTAAACCACACCCCGATGGATGAAAGCGCTGGTGACAGAAGCGGCTGTCAGCCACCAGTACTTCATGGGACAGCGAGCACGTTCAGATTAACCAGATGTGGCCCAGGCTGTGTGGCGAGAACATTCCCATGTCCTCACTCCAACGAGCAGGCATGGGCAGCATCTGACCAGGGTCTCTCCAGGAAGGACGCCTCCACAGGCACACGTGAAGCAGTTTCAACACCACCCCAAGAGCTGCCTGCAAACCCTGGACACCTGTGCCATTTTGGGGGGCTAAAAGGAGCCGTATTTATGTTTTTGTTCCTATCTCTGGATGAAGTGTTTACTATGGAAAGTTTCTAACATGCAAATAAAATAGAGATAAAAATATAACAAGCCCCACGTCTCACCTCTCGGATCAGTAGTTATCAGCTCTGGGGAACCCTGTTTCGCCAAGTCTCCACCCATTTCCAGACCTGTCCCAGAGCAAATCTCAGGGCAACCATCTCCTCATGGAATCCATCCGGCTGTGCCTCTGAAAGATGAAGACTCTCCACTGGACACAGTGGCTTGCGCCTATAATCCCAGCACTTTGGGAGGCTGAGGCAGGCAGATCGCTTAAGCTCAGGAGTTTGAGACCAGCCTGGGCAACATGGTAAAACCCTGTCTCTAAAAAAAATACAAAAAATTAGCTAGGCATTGGTGGCACACACCTGTGGTCCCAGCTACTCGGGAGGCTGAGGTGGGAAGGTCACTGGAGTTCAGAAGGTAGAGGCTGCAGTGAGCCGTGATCATATCACTGCACTCCAGCCTGGGCGACAGGGGGAGACTCTGTCTTCAAAAAAAAAAAAAAATCCCCATTTGTTTGTTTAAAGTTCGTTTGAATCGAGAACCCAGCAAGGCTTCTTGGTTGCTGCTGGCGGGTCCTGGCACCTTCCTTCGCTGGGTTTGGCCGACAGCACCGCAGACGCCTGGATTATTTGTAACACGGTACCGAGATCTAGATCTTTTGGCGAGATTACTTTGTAAGTGGCGGGGCGTGCTTCCACTCAGAGGCGAGTGACACCTCTCTCCTTCGTGATCACGGCCTAAATGCATTAATGCACTAGGGCCGCAGCGAAACGGTGATGTGTCATCTCTCACTCCTCCTGTTTGCTCATGATAAGCTGGGACACTTCTGTAAAGAGAGACCTGCCCTCACTGCCACCCAGAGATACAACTCACACGAAAAAGGGGAGCACGGGGCTCATGCCAGCCACCAGTGTCAAAGTCATGGTTTCCGAAGGTGACCAGTGAGGTTGTCCTTTTTAAAAGCTTTGTGTTCTTTCTCTGGGATGTAAAAATTGTACTGCCAATGATTCACAAACTGTCCCTGGCTCCTCACCTGGTAGGGGTCCTTCCAGGCCCTGGGGCTTCAGGGGACAGCCTAAGGGGGCATCAATGGGGCAAGGGACGGGTGCTGGCTGTCCTGGAGCCTAGAGGCCTTGGCAGAGCTGGCTGGCAGAGTGGCAGGACACGCTGTGTCGTGGGGAGAAGCAGGTGCAGAGGTGAGACCCAGGCGCCCAGCAAACAGACCTGCCTGGAGAAATGGAGCCAGCCACACGTGGCATTGCTCTGGCACAGCCTTGAACTGGGAGCCCAGCGATTTCTGAATGGGAACGTACGTCTGCCTGTCACTGAGATACTGATGAGGCTCTCTATTGCCTTGTATTCTGATTCTGACCACTGTCTAAATCAATGATTGGACTACAAATCATGTAAAAGGAGTAAGAACTCTTCTCTGAGAACAAGCTATGATCTCAAACTTCAGAGTTCTGTTAAAAGCATGCCTGGAAGAGACAGAAAACATCACCAGACGCTGTACAAATCACAAAGGCTTGTGTGTGTTGGTGGTTCAGATACGTAATATACCACAGCTTTAGGATACTGGCCTTCCCCTCTGTAATTAAAAACAAAACAAAACAAAGAAATATCTTTCAGAAACAATGACCAATTATCAGTCCCGCCCACACTGGCTAAGTGAAACCAATTCATGTTTCCAGGCCGCTTTAAACGGGTGAGGGAAAAAGCCCCATGAGCTCCCCTGCACCCTGGCCACGCCTTCCTGAAGTCTCAGGCTACGTGGAACCGAGAAAGAACACGAATGCTCTCATCCAATCAGCGAGGAGCCGGCAGAGGACGTGGAAACAGAAGGGTTCCCAGCAGCCCCACCTTGGGCTGCTCCCAGAGGCCCCCACAGCCTCGGCTCCTCAGCCCGTGCATCCTGGAAACCGTCTCATTTCTGTGGCCTTTTTTTTTTTTTTTTTTTTTTTTTGAGACAGAGTCTCATTCTGTCACCCAGGCTGAAGTGCAATGGCACGATCTCGGCTCACTGCAACCTCCGCCTCCTGGATTCAAAGGATTCTCCTGCCTCAGCCTCCTGAGTAGCTGGGACTACAGGTACATGCCACCATGCCCAGCTAATTTTTGTATTTTTAGTAGAGACAGGGTTTCACCATGTTGGCCAGGATGATCTCCATCTCTTGACCTCAGGATCTGCCCATCTTGGCCTCCCAAACTGCTGGGATTACAGGTGTGAGCCACCACGCCTGGCCTTCTGGGGCCTTTTATATAGCTCACAATTCCACACAGTTTCATTCTGTGTATTAAGAATTTCTATGACACATTTTTATTTAAGACTCTTTTAAAAAAGCACCTTTGTGCCCTGAAAGAACATGTAAGAAAACAAGAAGTTGCTCTGAGAGCCAAAACCGCACACAGCACAGAACCGCAACGCACAGCACAGAATCGCAGCGCGCCACGCAATCGAGCCAGCCCAGAAACAGCAGAAACTCAAGATGGGAAGAAAACCTTCCAAGACATTCGCCACGATTTCGTTTTCACGGTGGGGTCTTAGTCCCATCTGTGGTTTCTCAGATTTCTCTTAGTGCGTGGCACTTACAAAAACAAACATTAAGCACGTCCCCGCCACCCCAGGCACTTGCTGGCCACCCCACAGCCTGTCCTCCATGGCCCCCTCTCCTGCGTGTACCAGGTGGCAACACAGCCCCCGCACGGCGGTTGCAGAGCACTCCTGGCCCCGCGGTTGAAGGTCACCTGGACAGTCTGGGCCCAGGCTAGGTGGCGCTGCTTTTTAAATAACCCTCCTGAAGCTCACACGGCACTAGAGAGAAGGGGAAGAGTTCAGACGTGCTGGTGGGAATGGCTGTCAGCTCTGCAGTAAACAGCTCGGTAAGACCCAGCATGTAGAATCCCAGGTGCCGAAGGGCTGAGCCGGGCAGGAACGGAGGCACGATCTAAGCCAGGCCTCACAACTGCTCCCTGATTCCTGCGCCCCTCCCATCTACCAGTTCATCCACCGCACGGCACTGCCCCAAAACACACGACCCTCAGCAGCCGGCCTCCGTGAAAGCTCCCTCATCACGTCGGCCACAAACCCACCTGTCACTGGCTCTCCAAGGCTCTGCCTCTCCAACGAGCCTTCACATTCCCCAAGACCAAATGTCTGTTTTTTCGTGCCGGTTACTCTTCCATGGTAAGAAAGTAAACACTCAAATCAAGACTTAAGTGTGTAATTCTAACATCCTGGACCCAGCTGGACGGCACCTGGAAGGGAGCCCGGCCTCCACGGGACCCGCCAGACCCCGCCAGTCTCGGCCCCCCCGTGCTTCCTCTCGCTGCCAGCCACGCACAGGTCTGACCTCCCCCAGCACCCCGGGGCCTCTGCCCCGGCTCTTCCCTGGTCAAACTCTTTCCGCTGACGTTCCTGGCCCCTTTCCCATCTATTTCACTGTCTGATCACAGGCAGCACCTCCACAGCAAGGCCTTCCCTGACCCCTTGCCCAGGCCTCGTTTCATTGGCAGGAAAAGCCTCCCACAAGCCTCGTTTCCACAGGAAGTGAATTTACAGTCCTTTACACTCAACAAAGCTTTCTGACGAAATTATCTACCATGGGAGTGGCTGGTGACAAACACAGGATCCTACAGACGGGGGGGAGGGTCGGGGGGCTGATGCTCGCAGAGGCCAAGGAAGGCTCCAAAGCCCGTCACGTCCCCACAGCATGCGCCTCGAGCATGGAGAGCAAACGCCCTGACAGGTGTGCCCGACTCCCACTAGTGCGTGACCAGCGTATCTCCACGTCCTACCATGGCGATGGGGACTCCAGTCACGCAGGTCAGACGCTGCAGCCCCACGTGCAGCCACTACATCCTGAGACAAACACCCCCGGAGAGAAGAAATCATGCCACCAATCCCTTTACAAAGGCCTCCTCCTCAAATATGCAGAAAACCAATGCTCTGGGAACGTAAATGATCTTCACCTTCCCGACATATTTCACATGTTTTCCCCACCAGACCAGAAGGCTCAGCCCTCCGAAGGCCGGCATCCACGTCCCATCAGCTCGGCAGCGCGTCCCCGCATACAGGAGGACCTGGCCAGCGCTCAGGGGGGTGCCTGACAGGACGTGGCGGAAGGCAGTGCCCCTCACAGCCTCGTGCTGACCCCCTCCTTCCCCAGCCCCACCCCCATGACCTCTGTGCAGTCTGTTCAGCACTCACTGTTTTAGAAGCACTTGGGTCCACCTTATCCCTCTTGAGCATCCATCGAAGGCTGTGACATCAATGTCACTGCTCCTACTTGGCAGAGGAGGACACCGAGTGAGCCCCAAGTCCAAGAGTGAGTCTCCCAGCCGGCACTCCGCCCTCTCCGCGGGTCCCATCCGCCAGGCACTCCCAGCGAGGAGGAATCCCTGCTCTAGAACTGTCCCACCCTCTGACCCTCGGACACACCAAAAGGGAGGCAGAGAAAACTACAGGAAGCCCTCACTTATTGTCACTGACAGGCTCCTGGAAACGGCGACCTGAAGCAGAAGGATGCACAACAAAAGCAGTTTTTCCCTCATCAGCGTGCGGAGGAAATGACACTGAAGGAAACCCCGTTCTCCGAGGACCTGCATATTCCTGGTGCTTCACCGGGCAGTCTGCGGGAACAGCGGAGGCCACGCAGGGCGGGCCGCCTCCCTCACCTCCTGCCCCCTCCTCTCCGTGACGCACGGGAAGGGTCACCGTGACCAACACGGCTTTAAACTGTGTGTGTCCACTTAAATACGCACGTTTTTCAACAAACATTGGAAAATTTTTTGGAGCTATGTGACAATTTGAAAAAACTTGTGGATAAACCACATAGCCCAGAAACATCCACAAAGTTAGAAAAGGTATGTCATGAATGCACAGACCACACGTAGGGGCTATTTTCTCTTTTTTATTTATTTATTTTTTGAGACAGAGTCTCGCTCTGTCACCCAGGCTGGAGTGCAGTGGCGCAATCTCGGCTCACTGCAGCCTCCACCTCCCAGGTTCAGGCAATTCTCCTGCCTCAGCCTCCCGATTAGCTGGGATTACAGGTGCACGCCACCACGCCCAGCTAATTTTTGTATTTTTAGTAGAGACAGGGTTTCACCATTTTGGCCACACTGGTCTTGAACTCCTGAACTCGTGACCCACCCCCTTCGGCCTCCCAAAGTGCCGGGATTACAGGCGTGAGCTGCTGGTCCTGGTCCAGCTAATCATTTACTACCACGAAATAGACACAAACCATTATATTAAGAGTTCAAACATTAATAGCTTCAAAGAGAAGTTTTCATTCTATGCTTTGTCTTGCTTGGCAAATATGATAGTAAAAACTTTTTCAGAGTGAATTTTTTCTTGTAAAAAGTTACAGTGTCTCAAAACTTACACACACACACACACACAAGCGCGCGCGCACACACACACATACCCTTACAGACCACACACAGCACCATTCACAGAGGAGAGAAAGGTAAATCACTGTGAGGCTACAGTAGAAGCCAGGCCTGGAGGCTCATGCGTATAATCCAAGCACTTTGGGAGGCTGAGCCCAGGAGTTTAAGACCAGCCTGGGCAACATAGGGAGACCCTGTCTCTGCAAAAAACTTAAAAATTAGCCAGGCATGGCAGTCCCAGCTACTCAGAAGGCCGAGTTCTCTACTCGAGAACTGCTTGAGCTCAGGAAGGTGAGGCTGCAGTGAGCCCAGACTGCGCTACTGCACGCCAGCCTGGGCAGAGTGAGACCCAGAAAGGCCATCTGCCTGAACAGGGACCTTCATGCAGGTGAAAGTGCCCTATTCTGGAAAGAGATGTCACAAAGGACATTAATCAGGAAGGAAGAGCAGCGAGCACTAGCACTAAGGGCCGGGAGAGGCCACGGGTGCTGTTTCTCAGCAGGACATCCCTTATCTCTAAAGCTGCTGACCCTTGAGCCTTGAAGGAGAAAGAGAAACACCAGCTGCCAGGCTTCTGGCTGCACAGGAGGCCCAGCCCATGAAAAACCCTTTCTGGACTGCTTCCACGGTCCTGAAGCCAGGAAGCACGTTCCAGGAGGGGCTGCCTTCCACAGCTGTGTCCCCGTGCCCAATGCCCCTCCCCCAAGAACTCACCAGCACAACACCGAAGGCTTCATCAGCCCACCTGTCCCAACACGATGAGCCCTACTCTAAAGCTGGGGTCACAGGGCCCTTCAGGGCTCACGACACACAGCACTCAAGATGGTCAGCGCTGTGGCAGGGAACCCAACTGAGGGAACGTCGTGAGAACTGGAAGGACTGCGCCACTGAAGGTGACATCGCTGTTGTAGGAAGAGCCGTGAAGGCCGTCAAGCCCAAAACACACTCCCGCTGGAGAAATCAGGTCCAGAGGGTGCGCCTGACTCCACAGGGTTTATGACAGCCAATCAAGGAAGCCACGAAAGAGACTGTGGATGCAGCCAAAAGGGCAGGGATAAAGAAACTCAAGTGCCAACTGACAGACGCCACGCCAGAGGACACGCCAGGGGAACGAGCAGGAGACGATGCAGTGGAGCTGAGTGCCTCCTAAGCAGTGCCAGAAACAAACGCACGACATCACCTGGCAGAGGGGCTCTCATCACTCAAGAGAGCTTTCGGCTTCTTTTACGACAGGGACCCTTTTCAGACGCAGGTATTAAAATGAAAGCAAAGGGTGGAAGGAAGACTGGAACCACAAAGAAACAGTTTAGAGAAATAAAAAGCAAAAAGGCTACACAGATGTCATGATGTAGTCCATGAAATGACATGGAGCACGCCTGCCTCAACTCCACTGCCTCCCTCCCCACGGCCTCCACCTCCACGGCCTCCACCTCCACGGCCTCCACCTCCACCGCCTCCCTCCCCACGGCCTCCACCTCCACCGCCTCCCTCCCCACGGCCTCCACCTCCACCGCCTCCCCCCCCACGGCCCCCACCTCCACCGCCTCCCTCCCCA